GTTCTGAGTGATAGGCGGCTGTTCCGGGTGTGGGTGTGCGAGAGGTGGGTGCTGCGGGTGCGAGGTGGTTGTTGTGGGGTATGGGTGTGCAAGAGGTGGGTGCTGTAAGCGAGCAGTGTGTGCTCTGGGTGCATGTGAAGTGGGTACTGCGTGTGCAAGTGGGTGCTGCGGGTGAGGGGTGGGTGCTCTGTGTGTGCAAGAAGTGGGTGCTGTGAGCAGGAGATGGGTGCTCTGTGTGGTGGTGTGTGCAAGAGGTGGGTGCTGCACGTGGGAGTGGGGTGCTCTGAGTGAGGGTGTGTGTGAGGGGTGGGTGCTGTGTGTGAGAGGTGGGTGCTACGAGGGCAAGAGGTGGGTGCTGTGTGTGAGCAGTGTGTGACAGGTGGGACAGGAGCCAGGCACCCAGCACTGGGAGCAGGGCAGGGTGTGAGCCCCAGCCATGCCATGGGATGCTGGTGGGGGGCACCCAACTGTGTGGGGGCTCCCATGGGAGCGCCGTGGTCCCTCCAGTCCAGCACACAATGCCAGTCCGTGCCAAACCGCCGTGCCAGCACCTCTCTGAACAGCTGCCCCATCCACCACCCTGTGCTCGTGCTCCCCAGCCTGAGGGACACCCACTCTCCCTGCTCATCCTGCATCCCTCAGGAACCCTGGACACCCACTGCCATGCTCAGAGGGGTCATGACCACGGACCCCCCGGCTCACATTGCTGAGTGCTGAGCCGGATTTTCTAGGTGACCTCATGCCTCCATCTCCATCTGCAGTTCCCGGGGGGCCCGGGTGGAGCTGTCGGGGTGGTTGGAGGATGGCACGGCGCTGCCTTCATCCGAGCTGGCAGCTCCGCAGGCAGCTGTGCTCCACTGCATGCTCAGCCCGGGGAGAGCCTTGCCTGGGAGCTGCCCGCCCATGGATGGGGATGGACAGAGCCACGGCTGTGGGCTTTGGGGCTCTTGGCCGTGAGGGTCGCTCCTGGTGGTCCTGGGAAGAGCAGAGCTGTGGGGCCTGGTCGTGTGCCCCTGTCCCCACAGCAGGAGGGGTGAGAAGGGGCTCCTGCCAAGGACCTAATCCTGAACTGCTGAGCAGAAATGCTGTCCCTGATGCCATCCCTAATGCCATCCCTGATGCCATCCTTGATGCTGTCCCTGATGCTTTCCTCATCTGCTGATGGTTAATCCTGGCTTCCCACTGGGACCTGCTGATGGGAGACACACCGTGCTGGATGTGCGTCCACATCTGCCAGCTGTGGGTGCTGACCCTGTGGCACTGCCCCACCGGGGTCCTCACGGCCATCAGGGATGCTCTGGGCGCCCCTGGGGACACAGCATGGCCAGAGAGCCCTTGGCAGTGATGGGTGTTGGGTGCCACAGATCGCTCTGCACTCTTGCACCCATAGATGGGTGGGGAGGCTGTGTTGTGGTGAGCATGGGGGTGAGCATGGGGGACAAGGGTGTCTGTCCTCTGTCCCACTGCCCCATCTGCACATGGCTGAACAGTAAAACCCTCCGTGTGACCCTTCCCTGCCTCTACCCTTGCGTGGGGGCTGGTGGCCGGTGGCACAGCCCCGGGTGTGGTTGGGGATCCAGAATGGGTGATGGCAGGGCAGAGTGAAGGTGCTGAGGGGCTCCCACTCCATGCAAGGATCCCACGTCCCCTTCCCCAGCCCAGGCCTGGGGCTGGGTGCACTGGGACACCCACCCACACCCCGTGTACCCTCTCCCTGCACCCACGCCACCCCAGGGCAGACACGCACCCGTAGGCCCGGGGCTGCCGAGTCCCTGTGCACCCAGGCATGATGTCACCCGTTGCCATGGCAATGCTGCTGCATCACTGCATTGTAGAGTGCCCCAGTCCCGGGATTTCCACAGGACCTGTGTGGTGTGGGCAGCAGGATGGGGCATGGGTAGCCCAGAGGGACTGGGGGGTTTGTGTGTGCTGCTGGGTGTCCCCACATGGGTGGCAGTGGTCCCTGCCCTCAAGAAGGTCCCTGCCCATGCTAGGAATGAGTCTGAACTGCTCAGGGTTGTGGGACCGGTGGGCACAGGATAAGGGCAATGATGGGGCATTAACCAGCACTTGCAGCTGCCACATGTCCCAGCATCCCAGAGAGCCAGGTCACACACCAGCCCATCCACACAGCATGCCGGTGGCATCTGTGGCACTCTGGTGTGCCCAGTGGCACACAGGTGGTCACCAGGGCACTGTCAGAGCTGGACAGTGCCTGGCACACCAGGAGGATGACATGGGCTGGGGTTCCAGCCCACAGCTGCCCTTTGGCCTGTTGTACCACCTGCAAGCAAACAGCTCTCACAAGAAATATTCCCAGTGGCTGGAAAAATAAACAACTCAGGGGCTGCCGGCTGCTCCCCAGTCCTGAGATGGGGGGGACATGGCATAGCCGCTGCCCTGAGGCTGTGCTCCAGATGGGTGTGTGGTGCTGCTCCCACTCCACTACCTTCATGCCATTGCTCCTGGGCCTGGCCATCGGGCCATCAGCCCCAGGGACACTGGAAGGAGATGTTCCCTTGCGCCAGCCCTGGGCAGGTGATTTG